TCTCTCTCTCTCTCTCTCTCTTTCCGTGGACTTCTCCCCTCTCGCTGTTACCGACCACGTACCGATAGACCTCGATTTCGTTCGCGTAGGCATTTCGTAGCGCGATCCGGTGAAATTCTATTCTTACCAGGCTTCAATTTTTCAAGCGTGACTTAAGGTCAAGCTCGCGTTAAAAAATTTGCTCCTTCGTGTCTTCGTGTCTCGCGCTAGAGAAGTCCTTCCCTTCCTGGATCTGTTGCAATAATTCGACTAATACGATATATATAAAGGTTCATTTCGTACACGCGAATGCACTTTGCCTCGGCGACACTCTCGCGAGGCAGAGATTGCGAGTGACGTTAATGAGCAAACTGGATCCGGTAGAATTAATACGAGGGCAACCAGGGCTACCACTCGTGAGAACGTTACGCCAACGCTGACAATCGCGAAGCGCGGAGAAAATTTATTGAAATTTCCACCGGTGTTTTACGCGGGCTCTGGATGTTACGCGCTTCCAACGATCCCTCGCTGATCCTGAATTAACACTGCGTTCGCGTTCCATTTAGGACCGTGTGACGCGCGACTCATATCATTCCCTCTCCGCGAGGAGAGGAAAATTTCCTCGAGACACGAGAAAAACGATATCGAAACGGAGGAATGCGTACGATGCGTACGACGTGACAGGGAACGTACTCTAACGGTTAGGACGTTGAGATGCCGAATTACGTATTATGTGTAAGATCGTGGACAGGCATGCGAGGAGATTTTTCCCTCTGATCGATTGGAAGAAAAAACCGAATCGCAACGTGTGATTAACTGGGACGGCTAACCCAGAATTTCGCGTTTGCGTGCCGAATAAATGGTAATTATCGCGGCGAGTGTACACACAGGCCGTGGTAGCGGACAAGGAATGCAGGAAGATGGCGAGGAAAGGGGTGGGGAACGGGAAAAGCAGGAGATCCCAAAGAGAGCAAAATCGGGTGCACGTGTGAACAGTGCGACCTAAGCGGGCGTCGGTGTCCCTCTGAGCGTATACTCCGACCGATTCACGCGGTGCTTAGGTGCTGTTCGACGT